TCCCGTTCGCCAACTGATTTATGGCTTCATTTGATGCCCTGACTTGGCTGATTTTCATATATGTAATTATTGTGCCCTGATAATGTTGAAACCTGGCTGCCCTACATACCGAAGACATAGCCGAATATGGCGATCTTTGGACTTGGTCCGTTTTATGGCGATCTTTGGACTTGGTCCGTTTTCAAATGTTTCTATATGTATCGAAGTTATAACCGAGTACGGCGGTCAACAACCCGCTGTCGGGTGTTATTACGTACCGAAGCCATAGCCCAGCACGGCGATCAACAACCCGCTGTCGGGTGTTATTACGTACCGAAGCCATAGCCCAGCACGGCGATCAACAACCCGCTGTCGGGTGTTATTACGTACCGAAGCCGTAGCCGAGCACGGCGATCCACGGCCAGCTGTGGGGAAGCGCTTCGACACCGCCGAAGATGCGCGTGGCCAGCCTGCCGAAGCCGCACTCGTGGAATTCCTCGTGCTCATCCAGGTAGTCCAGCTCCTCGTGCACCTCTTGGCTGGGATCACTGGACGAGAAGAACCGCGCCACTAGTTCGCCCTCCTCGGCGGCTGAAGACGCGTTGGCGGGCGCCTCCGCTGGCTCCGGTACTGGGTCGGCAGGTGCTTCAGCTGGTGCTACAGCTGTGTCAACGGCTTCTGATGGTGTCGAGGCTGGCTCAGCGGGCAGCTGCTCTGGCTCAGCAGCCGGTTGCTCGGGTTCAGCAGACGGCTGCTCGGGCTCAGCAGGCGGCTGCTCGGGCTCAGCAGCCGGCTGCTGTGGTTCTGCCGGCGGCTGCTCGGGTTCAACAGCCGGCTGCTCGGGCTCAGCAGGTGGCTGCTCTTGCCTTGTGTCGGTTTTCGGAGTCCCCGTTTCGTCTTCAGTTGAGGGCGGCTGCTCGGGGGATGGAAGTATATCGTTTTTATAGCAGCACACGAATGGTTTCCTGTCCACTATCCTGCCGGACAGACGGGGTGACAGCTGAAACATGGCTGTATACGGGGCTTTGTGCTCAAATCATTGGTCCCTGCTTCAGTGCCTGTGTTGTCAGGTATGGGTAATGGGTATCAGTGGTGCACCCGATTTGTAGATGGACCTTTGTCCGACGACATAAACATAAGGAATATCTTAACCGATTTGAAACATTTACTCGCGTTCAGTTTTACATTATTCTTTTCTCGGGGGAATTAATACCTCATCGGTTGCACTGTACCTATGGCGTGTGTCGCCCCATCCTCGTGCCCGGCGCCCATTGGCATTCCGTCGCGCCCAGCCGCGACTCACCTGCACGTGCTGGCTTTCAGTCTGCGTACACTCTGAATGGTGGGCAGGCTGAGCAGCTCATAGAGCTTGGGGCAGCTGCTGATGGGAACGCACTCGGCCTTCTGGTGGCAATCCCGGTGGAAACTGCTGCTTCGGGCCTCCACCAGCACGGGAAACACATCTCCCAGCACTGCGGAAAGAGATGCGACGAGGAGTCAGCTCGAGAACGGAGACACGGTCAGTTATCGTCCATGCATCCAGTAATCAGTATGATTTGATGAGGAGATAGATGATTAGGTATTGATCAGTGATGAAAGAGCTAACTGCTGGCCGGATTTACAGGAGCCCCGGACGTACAGGAGTAGAGGAGTTGACAGGAGCGAAGGAGTTTCGGACGTTTCGGTCGCGTGTCGCCACTCCGAGCCCGGGGCCGGGACTTTACTCGGTCAAGGCCTTCCGACTCCATTCAGGCGTGCTCCTCCCAGACACAGTTACACTCTGTTGTTTATTTATGGAGCCGTCGTATACACGCGCTGTGACATAGGTCGGACCGCCGCTAACTTTTCGATCGCTCTGGCGGCGACACCTCTCCCAGAGCTTTGGAGTTGCGAGGGACGTAACGTAGCCGAGGTGAGGAACGTATGGCATAGCGTTTCACTGAGTGGTTAGACTGTCCCGCCGGACACGAGTGTGTTGCGGATAGCCTACAAAGTAACTACGCGGAATAATCGAACTAAAGTGCGGTTCTTTGGCGAACGACAGCCGTCAGCCGTCAGCCTTTTTTATTCTATAGGTACTTTGCAAGTTGCGCTTCTAAGTATTGAGAACGACTACTGAAGCGATAGCGCTCAAAGCTAGTGCTTTGTAAATTGTAAGAGATCGGCAAGATGGGCGGCCCGAGGCAAATCAGTTGGGTTGGAGCTTCACTTTGCCCGTGCATGTGTCGCTATTGACTATTGAGATTTGAGCGCATTCGTTCTTTGCTCAAAAGGCGTTTTCTGATCATTGCATTGCTATTGGTCAAGCTGAATTGACTAATATTGCGGCATGACTTTGCTAGGTGAAGTTTGCAGTCATGGCCGTGCCTTTTCATGTGTGGTCCTTTTAGAGTAAATATTTTGTGTTCATCTGAGACCTGCTCTGCGCCTGCCTGATGTTTTGCCTTTCTCTCCTTGTCCCTTTGCCTCGTGCCCTGCGGGTGACCGGGACTGCCGGGCAGTCTCAGTGCACAGTCGGGCGGATTGAAACGGTCGTGTTTATTTATAATATTGCAGCGACTCGGGTCGTTGGACGGCGGGCCGAGAACCCTGGCTGGGAGGACAGATTCCTCCGTTGTCCCCTCCCCCCCCCGCTTGAAGTCTGGTCGGTTTAGCACTTCCGACAAGAACTAAAACGGTCATGTCAATGCAAGTGTTGAGAAGATTGATGTGTATCTTTCGTGGCCTGTAAGATGGAAATCCCGGTTGCCAATATTGTGTTAGTATTATGACTCGTGGAATTCCCGTTTGCTGAATATCTTTTCAATGGATGGACGGCTGTTAAAAATGTGCTAGGCTAAATATTTGCTTTGGCATACACGCGTCAGTGCAAAATGACTCCGAGTATTTTTTTATATTTCCGCTGAACCGTAGAAGCCTTCCGTGTAACATGTCCTGTTCTTTACCTGTATTATCGTGACTTTCCTGAACATGTTGATAATATATTATACCCATATATACCTAAATGTGCCTCGAATCAGCTCAGCTACCAGTGCTATGGAATGGTAACGTTTTTAGTCTTTGAAGACCATGGTGACTTTGTGGCTTTTCAGTGACTGGGTGACGACTGGCGACTGATCAGGGGTGAGAAGTGACGACGGTAGAAGTGTCGACTGTCGCTCTCACCTGGATCATACTGTGGTAGCTCGAAGGTGGCGCTCGCTCCCACCGCCGCCAGCAGCAGCAGGGCGGCTATCCTCCGTGTGCGGTCCATCGTGCCGAGCGTCGTCACCGTCAGCCCACCCGCCTCCAGCGGCCACCGCGTCCAGCGACTGAGCCCTGCGCGAGCGGGCGGGCCGGCCCCGCGCCGCGCCTGGAAATTCCGCCGCCCGACGCGGCGACAGCTGACCACTGACCACTGTCCATATCGTGACGTCACAGCCGTCCCGAGACCGTGACGTTATACTGAAGGCAAGCAGCCCCCCCCCCCCCTTTCTCCCCGATGCACACATGCACACATACCTACACTACACTTATGAGAGTCGACCATTATAAAAGGTATGTTTTCTTTCCGGCGCACGCTGAGTACCTACCTAAAGAAAAGTTGGAACATCTTTCTGTTGGTCCCGTGGCAATAGGACGTTTAAAAACAAAGACATGTGGGAGAACCAAATCGGGCCATTTGGTTCGCGGAGACGGCTCGGGAATTTTGACAGAGATGTTACTTTGGCTCGCATGGGGCCAGACCAGGTCACATATGCCATATTTACTCGGTTTAGGTCACACTGGGTCAGGACAGGTCACAGCTTTACTGTTTAATTGTGGACACGAAGGGACACCCGAATCGCAAGTCACTCGGGTAACGGGTTATCTTCCTTGAGATGTCACTGTATGTCCATGACGGCTGGTCGAAAAGACGAACACAACACCAATCAATTACCGGAATGTATGCGACTGCATCGGTCGTTTTTTGAAGATGTTGACCTTAGGTGATACCGTACCCACCCCTGTTATATACCCATTTCCGTGGCCCTGAAAGGTCAACAAGACTATTCCGCCTACACATTGGTTATGGTTTGGTATGACTTATGATAAATGGATCATACCTGAATTGTCCATACATTGGCCAATGTCATACCTATTACCTACCTACCTACTTAGTATCTGAGCGTCTACTCGGCGGATTAATTAAAACTAAAACACATAAATGGTGTCGTGATCATACATACGTGATCTCGTCGTCGTCGACGCCGCTCCCTCTAGCCACCCCAAGCGGGCGTAGCCAGACAGCTCAGTTGGGCGCGGAAGCCGGCGGCAAAGGCCACCACCACGCCGTCGTCTTGCGTCGCCGCCGTTGGGTGGATGGTGCTCACGCGCGCTGAGCGTCGCCCCGCCCCACCAGAGCCAGGCAGGACGCATATGCCGCCGAGTGTCCGCCTCCTCTCGGCACATTCGGCAGATGCGACCGGACACCACTCCACGGAGCTGCTCTGGTCACATTCAGTCGTCGATCGGCGGCTGATATAATACGATGGAGATGCTGAATTGATCCGAGCAGGACCAGTGGCCGGCCCGGAGCGATGAACGTCCCACGGAGAGGCGGTCCTGTTCTCTCCCTCGACCGGGCATACTGTCAGAGTAGGTATATCGATTTAGGCTCAAGCTATCTATAGCAAACTCGCCTTTTTCACCTCCCGAGGTCGCTGAGATCATGCACGGTCACCATATTCTGGATGAATGGTTCAATTGCACACCCAAGACCAAGGCGAATGGATGCTATTTTAATCACATCGGACTTGACCAAGAATATCTGGGACTTGTCCAAGGCTATATAACTCAACGCCCTATACATATTCAACCAAATATACGCCGGATGTGTGATTGCTGCAAAATAGTTCATCGAGTCCGAGATTAGCATCGTTTTAAGTGACGATACAAGACAACGATAGCGCAGTTGTTACGAAAGTGAACTATCGATGTGATCGATGTATTTGTGTATTGGTGGTATTGGTCGTAATGGGCTAGATATACCTATAACTTTTGAATGTTTGTTTTAGAGTGTTGTATTGAATTTTTCATCAGTCATGAGTCAATATAATATTTGAGGGTACATATGTGCTGAGTTTCTTGTCTATAAGATTAATAGATCATGATGATGAGATAATTGCAAAAGGCTGAGTGTTGTTGGAATTATCTTGTGGAGCTGCTTTTAAAAGTGCTATTACAATTATTTATTAAAATTGCCTATGGAATCTCAAGTACCCACTCCTAATAATCAGCTCTAAATCTCTTCAAAAACATAATTAAATATATTCACAATCATCTAAATATCAAGGGCCAGTGCAGGTCCGGGATTTTCTTCAGTTCAAGTTAGAGCTTAGAGGCCTCAGGCCAGTGGCTCTGGGGCCCAGTTGGGGGCATCATGTTTCAATCATGTTTCAACTTACCAGGGTTGACAAAATGTTTGACTGTGCCATTTAACCCTCGCCCTGGCCTCTTATACAGCCTTGGCCCTGGCAGGGGGGTTGATGCAACCCCCCTAAGGTTTTTCGAAGATAGCGTAAAAACGGAGGCGCGCAGCGCCGCCAAATTTGGCACAGCCTATGGGACAACCTTTTTACATATGACCTGAAAATTTCAAGGCGATGCTAACAGTGTTGTAGTACCCTGCTTCGTAGTTTGTGACTCCGCAGGGTGACATTTTTCTGTAATCTGTATTATAGTATTTTTGTATTTTTCCTAGACAGTGTTGCTCACATTTTTACCAGCGAAGTGTCTCATCATTGATCATCCATTTAGTAAACAGTTTTTGTCAGGTCATGTCATTTTTTTTCTCCACACATCCAAAGCCCAAGAAAATTTGGAACTGAACCACTTCTTGACATAGATGTGTGACCAGCAATAATCAGTTGGGGATCTTACATTGCATTGCATCTAACACACATGAAGAGCCCACTTAAACCTTACTATAATGGTGCTAGATGTTTCAGTGCTTTACATATGTTCTGTGCTTTTCATAATGCATGTCTCCTTTTCCAGAAGGTACCAACAAAAATCCCAGTAAGCACTAATGGCCATGGGGCAAAGTCTGCAGCTCTGTCAGGCACAAAGGAAACTCCTGCAGCTTCTCAGTCCGTTTTTGCACAAGCCCAGCCTGTTTTGCAAACAGCTCTGCCTCGGTGCCAATGTGGCAGCCGCTCGCCGGAACCTGCCCCGCTACCGGTACGAGCTGGAGAACCGTCTGCTGTTCGGACGGGTGGTGCGGACTCCAAGCGGCGCGCCCGCTGAGCGGGAGGCTGACCCGCCCGCTGGTGTTACCGTTGTCTCCGAGAGGGGGTTTCCGGAGGGCAGTGTGGGCGTGTCGGTCCGCCCCCGGTCCCGACGCACCTCTGCTTCGGCCACCTCTTCTACCAGCACCGCCTCCCCAAAACCCTCCGCCGCCACCGTCCCTGAACCAGCTGCCACCTCCTCCACTACCGGTCCCTCCGCCACCTCCAGCGCCACCCCCAGGTCCCGCAGTACGCTCCTGGGCACCTCGAGCGCCGCTGTTCCCCCGGTCAGCTATATGTACTCCACCGAGGAGCCCCCGACTGACGCGCACATGGAGAGGCCAGCGACGCCGCTGCCCAGCGTCAGCCGCGTCCTGCAGGCTACAATGAGTGAGGAGAGTCGCGCGGCGCTCCGCCGCTGGGAGGAGGCCATGATAGCCCGGCACGGGCCGGACGGATTCGCACAGATCAAGGAAGGTAGGGAGCCGCACAGGCCAGCCAGCTTCTGTCAATGCTGGAAAACATTGTTTTGTGCATTTACTTTCTGTGGTAATCGATGTGACTATTTGTGGCCAAACTTAAAAACTATCCTGCAATAGCGTTAGCTTCTATCTTAACGGTTTTATTTTCGGTTTTCTGTGGTAAAAGCTACTGCCACCCACCATTGACCTTCCTGTATGCAACCGGCTCTCCAACTCCATTTGTGCCCTCACCTGTCAAATCCTTTCGATCCTACGATTCTTCATCAGCTCCGCTCTCCGACTTCTTTCGCCTCGCATCCCCTTCACCTCCCGTTTTGCTTCCTCTTCCCTTCGCCCGTCTCACCGCCACCTCCCCCGCCCCGGCAGCCATGTTCTCTGTGGGCCGGGAGCTGCACGCGGCCATCCACCGTCACCTGCTGGGCTCCGCTCCCGAGGCGCCCCTCTCGCCGGCCGCTGACGGGTTCTGGCGCAGCGTGCGGCCGGCCCTGCGGCACGTGGACGGAGCCGGTCTGCTGGCCGCCGAGCGGCCGCTACGGCACACCCAGCTCGGCTACCAGGGCGTGGTCGACTGCGTGGCACCCTTCCGGTGAGTGGTGAGCACGTGGCGGCTTTGAGATCGGAGTGGAGTGGAAAGTGATCATGGAATGGAATAGGTGACCTCGGTATGGCGTGCCGCTCCAATCTTGGTTTCATTCACTCTTGGTGCTTGTCGTTGGTGCATACTTTTCTTTTTGTTGTGCCATTCGCCCTTGGTATTTGTACGCTTAGTTTAATGGACCTAGTAAAAACAATTATAATTAGGATTGAATGACGCACAACTTCTCCCAAGCTATTTGATGGTAAACTCAGTAACCAATCGCCTTCAGATTCATGTTGAGTGGTGTTCAGGGGTGACCTGAGTTGATCGTTCCTTCCAGGTCTTGCCCGATGGTGATCGAATGGAAGACTGCCCGGCGACCCAAGTACAGCGTCCGAGAACTATACGATAACCCTGTGCAGGCGGCTGCCTATCTGGGCGCCTATAACTACACCCACAGAGACGCCCAGGTGAGTAAAGATTACACCCACAGAAATTGGAGGCGTACCTCTCTGCACACGAGCCTCGCATCAACCTTACATGACTGTGCCGTTGCCTCCACTTTCGCTTATCCTCTCAACCCTTGTATTGGGTAACGTAATCGACCATCCAGAGCGGATAGTTTTGCATAACACTCATGCGTAACGCCTCTCCGTGACGTGATGCCTGCCCGGCCTTGAGCCCATGACGCTCTTCCGTGACGTGACGCCTTTCCGGCCCTGCCGTCAGGTGGACCGGGCAGCCGTGGTGGTGGCCTACGAGTCGGGCCGACCGGCCACCGTCCACGTGCTCTCCCCGGCCGAGTGTCGCCGCCACTGGGCCGCCTGGCTGCAGCGGCTGCTCCAGTACAGGCGAGAGACGGACGTGATCTGAGGCGTCTGCGGCTGCTATAATACAGACGGGAGACAGACGTGGTCTAGGGCGCCACTGGGCCGCCTGGCTGCAGCGGAGTCAGTACAGACTCCGCTGCAGAAGTCAGTACAGACGAGAAACGGACGTGGCGTAGGGCGTCTGATGTCCGATAAATTGACGTCGCACTTATGGGAGGTGGACGCAGACGCGGATCTACGCTTGCGAAGTACAATCCTGGTGCTGTGAAGTTCCTTCAGCTTGTACGCCGATGTCGTACGGTGATGCTTCCTAGAGGAGACGCTGTTGTGGAATGAGGATACGGAGCGGTTTGCGCTGTGCTCCTCAGGGGAGTAGGCGATACTGTGATATCGGCCGGTGATGCCGTTTTGTGGTAGATTATGTCCATTACATCATTTTTTTCGAATTCAGAAAGAGTACAAATATTGCCATCAATAATACATGCATTGACCTTAGATGCGCTTGTTTCGGTAGCTAGATTGCTTCTGTGACGAGATCATACAGACACGCCATTGATCAAATGCATTGCCCAGTGACCAAAAAGCATGAACACATCGCATAGTCAACAGTCTACAGCACATTACATATTTCACACTTCCAATGATAGTCACGTCGTCCCTGATCCGTTCTCACTCGTATATCATTCCGAGTGAGCCAAACTCTTGATGACTCTGGTTGGTCCTCCGTCGCCCATCGATCCTCTTAACGCCCTCCTTTGTCCCCTTCAGTTCCTCTACAGATCATCCTTTGGCAGCGGACAGACTGGCTGCTCAATCTTGATCTCCACTTTGCTGAATGGTCGCATATCGACAGCAATGCCAACCATTTTGACGAGTTTGCGTCGCTCCACGTCCAGTCCCGCCATGGCCTTTTGGACGGGCTTCAGTGACCGTTCGGCGGCCTGAGAGGTGGCTAATAGGGCGGCCCGCAGCTGCCAGTCGCGCTCCAGAGATTCCTGAAATGACAGATGGGATCACACAAGGTCACACAAGGTCATACGGGGTTACATGATGAATGGGGAGGTGTAAGCACGGGGATCAGACATAGCATGCGGTAGCTTGATAAGCCATTGGGATCGCAGAATGTTGAGCACGTGAATGCAAAAGCGAGAACATCTATTGCTAAGTTAGAATGAACACCGGTTTCATGCATCCGAGATTATTGTTGACAAAATAGCACAGATCAGGGTTGCGCAAGCATGAACTAGGCAATAATTTGTTTCCGTCACGTCCATCATATCTGCAGATTCAGACACGAGACTCATCATTTGCGGATAATCCGCATATAACTCACGGCGTTCTTTTGGTTGTGGAGTTTGGTGAGCTGTCGCAGCTCCGTTTCGGCCTCCTGCATTTTGACCCGACTGAGCTCAATCTCCTGCTGCACGTTCCTCTCCAGCTGTTCATAGAACGCCTTCAGTTCACGCTCCATCCTGACGGACCGTTATAAAATCGCTGTCATGCTAATACACGTACTTCAGCATAGCTAGACGAATGGATCGAACATTGCAGACATGGGAAAACTGTGAGTCGAATCTCGACTAATCAATCTAAGCGGCTGTAAATAGCAACCAAATGACACGGGAATCGTGTATATGACACGGGAGAAATGGAATGAAAGGTGGACCCACAGCGCTGTCCAAAGAGACGGTACAATCCTGATGGAAATTCTTCATCCTGAAACTGTCAGCTGACGGGCATGGCTTACACAACATGTGGCCAGTGTCATGTACCAGGGCGGCCGCGCCGGGGACAGATAGCACTGTATCAGCGCCGGGGGTCGCCCGTCCACGGGGCCACACCCGGGCGGGTCCCACGCCACCGGCTGAGGGGCGTCCTTCGGCCTGGGAGGCGGCAGGTGGCGGCCGTCGCTGCCTCGCCCACGTTGTCTGCCGCCCGCGCCGTCCGCCACTCGTTCCCCTGCCGTCCCTGCGGACGCTGCCGCTCCCGCCGCCATGCTGCCGCTGTTCAGCGTCGTCTCCCTCTCCCTACTGGCGTGTGTCGCCGGCCGGCGCTCGCCGCCGCTGCTGATGGCACCGCCGCACGTCGGCGACGACCCGCTGCCTCCCGACCAGTGGTACACGCAGCAGCTGGACCACTTTGACGCCAGCGAGACGCGCACCTGGCAGCAGCGCTACCAGGTTAACGACTCGTTCTACCATCCCGGCGGACCAGTGTTTCTCATGATCGGCGGCGAGGGACCGGCCAGCGCTGTATGGTTGGTGTCTGGAACTTGGATCGACTACGCCCAGCAGTACGGCGCCCTCTGTTTCCAGCTGGAACATCGCTTCTACGGCGATAGCCTGCCCACGGAGGATATGAGTGTAGAAAACTTGCGCTACCTGAGCTCGGAGCAGGCGCTGGCCGATCTGGCCGCGTTCACAGCCGCCATGACCGAGCAGTACGCGCTGCCCGAAGGCACCAAGTGGGTGTCTTTCGGAGGCTCCTACCCGGGCAGTCTGTCCGCCTGGTATCGACTTGTGTCGTAAGGGTTTCCCTTCAACGTGAAAGTTTCCCTTCAGTTGGAATCCCCGTGTGCTGACGAGGCAAATACAGTCGAGACGGAGACGCGGTCGTGTGCGGTTGGTGTGCGGTGCGTGCTGCAGGGGACGAACCAAATATCGTTATCGTTTAACAGACAGTAACGTAACATGGCGCAGCCGACAGGTGCTGAGCTAGTGCAAGACCTCACCACCATGCTACGAGAGCAAGCCGCCGCCGCCCAAGAACGCGAACAGAGATTAGTGTCCATGATGGAGGATCTGCTGCGCGGTCAGGGTCAAGGTCAGACGCAGCCGCAGGCTTTGCCAGCCGCCTCCGCCCTCAACATGAACGTAAGCCCTCCGAAACTTCCAGTAAGTGCAACACCCGCTCCACATCTAGCTGGTCAAGCGAACCTCAGAGAATTTGCCATCTGGAGGAGTAAATTTGAAGGATATTGCTCACTCACCGGGATTGATACTCTGCCATTCAGACAACAGCAAATGGTGCTAGAGGGGTTGGTTGATGATGACTGGTGCAGGATAATCCAGCATTCCATTTGTGCTGCCAACACAGTCACAGAGCTCCCAGCGCTACTTGATGCAATGCAAAAGTATCTTCGAGACCAAAGATCAGTCCTGCTGGACAGAAGGGAGTTTTTCTCCAGACGCCAAGCTGTCGGAGAGTCTTTCGACGAATTTCTGATCTCTCTCAAGGAAATCAGCAAATTTTGTGACTTCTGCCCAGAATGTTCTGATGAGCGCCTGCGTGACCAGATTGTCATGGGTGTCAGGGATGAAAGTTTGTTGCGCAGCCTGCTAAATGTCAAGGACCTCAAACTACAGGAGGCTCTTGACATGGCCAGGAGCCATGAAGTTGCGTCCAAAAACTGTGCCACCTTGGCTCACCATGCTGTTCAGAGAGTGGGACGAAAATCACAATATCAGAGAGACAAGTCCACAAGCCGTGCAAGGTCACAGTCCAAGTCGCGCTCAGCTTCAAACATGTGTAAATTCTGTGGCAACAAGTGGCATGGCAGGTTGCAGGACTGTCCTGCTCGTGGACACAAATGCTCAAAATGTGCCAAACTGAACCACTTTGAAAACATGTGCTTGGGTAAAATCCAGTCTCAGGAGCAGTACGTTCAACACCGTCATGTTCATCACCTCATAGCTGATGTGCACACTACCAGTCGTGTGACCCATCCGGCTCCCCGTGTGAAAGTGCTCGTCACACACGACTCTGGCAGTGGGTCTCTGCTTTGCATCCCCGACTCTGGTGCCGAAGCCACTGTTGTCGGCCCAAAGGAGGCCGCCGCTCTGGGTGTGTCGGACTATGACAACGGTGTGCCACCCCAGACCTTCTCAGCTGCAGGAGGCTATCCGCTGACGTCTGTCGGCTCATTTCAGGCCACCATCCAGCTCGGCTCCCGGCGCATAACCACGGAGATCGCAGTCATCGGCGAGCTGCGAGGAGCACTGCTCTCCTGGTGGGACTCCGTGCAGCTCGGGATTTTCCCGGCCGACTACCCGCTGCAGTTACACCAGATGAGTCTTCCAGACTGCAGCAGAACAACAACAGCGCGGAACGCCGCGCCCGCCGGCGAGACGGCGCGGGGCGCCGCGGCCGCTCCGCCGGCGCGGAGTGCCGTACCTGACGGTGGGCCAGCGCGAGGTGCGGCGGCCGCTCCGCCCGTGCGGCGCGCCGCGGCCGCGCGGTCGACACCGACGCGCCGCACTGATGCCGGCGGCCAGCCACCACGTGCTCAGGCACGTGACGCCGCCACCGCCCCCAGCCCATCCAGTGATCGGCCGACGACTACTCGCCGGCCGGCACAACCAGCAGTGTCGGGCACGGCCGTCCGGCCGCCATCGACCTGCACTGCCAGTCAGATGCCACCGGTCCAGGAGCGACCAGGAACTCCTGCCCGGCCCGCTAGCTCCCATGAGCGCGATCATCGCTCGCTGGCGACATCTATACCGGATACTCCGGATCCAACGGGTCCACCAGCACCTCTAGCGGAGAAAGTGGGAACCTCAGTTTCGTCCGCGGCCGACAACCGGTCGATCCCGACCTGGACCAGTGCCCAGCCGCCGACACCACAACAGCGAGCTCGTCACGAAGAGCAACTGATCAGTGCATTCGCGAGCGTCTTCGACAACAAAAGCACTCTGAGAGAGATGGCCGGCGGACCGATGCACATCGACCTGGCTGACGGCGCGCGACCGTTTGCCATCACCGCCGCCAGGAGTATTCCGTTCTGCTGGCGCGACGGCGTGAAGCAACAGCTGGACGACCTTCTCGCGAGGGGCATCATCGACAAGGTCGATCACGCTACCGACTGGTGCCATCCATTGGTATGTGTGCCGAAAAAGCAGGGAGGAGTGCGCATCTGCATCGATCTAACAAGATTGAACAAGTACGTGAAACGCCCCACGTACCCTGTACGTCCACCGCATGAGGCGGTCTCGTCGATCACGCCAGACGCGCAGTGGTTGACCACCATGGACGCAGCAATGGGCTACTATCAAATCAGCCTGGATGACTCCTCTAAGGACTTGACCTGCTTCATTACTCCATGGGGCAGGTACCGCTTCAACCGTGCAGTGATGGGACTCGTCTCGGCCGGAGATGAGTACAACCGGCGAGGCGATCAGGCCCTGGGCGACGTGCCACGCACCGTCAAAGTTGTTGACGACATCCTGGCTCACGACGAGACGTATTCGGAGCATCTCGCTCATGTCGTCCGCATTCTGCAGAAATGTGAAGCACAGGGCATCACGCTCAACGCCCAGAAGTTCCGATTCGGCCGCACAAGTGTCGAATTTTGTGGCTACCAGATCTCTCGGGACGGCTACACAGTGGATCGCAGGAAGACGTCCGCCATCTCGGAGTTCCCGCGACCACAGAACATAACGGACCTGAGATCCTTCCTTGGACTCGCTAACCAGCTCAGCTCCTTCTCTACCGAGGTGGCTCAGGAGGCGGCCCCCCTCCGAGATCTTCTGAAGCCTCGGAATACGTGGCTGTGGACCCCAGTACACGAGAACGCCTTCAACAGGGTCAAGTCGGCGCTCAGTTCTCCGCCGATTCTGGGTTTCTTCGACCCCAGCCTCCCCACAGTGCTATGCACTGATGCAGCCAAGACCGGAGGACTGGGCTACGCTCTCCTCCAGTGTCACGGCCTCAAGGACTGGAGACTGATCCAGTGCGGATCCAGATTCCTCAGCGATGTAGAGTCTCGGTACGCCTGTATCGAGATGGAGATGGCCGGTGTCGTGTGGGCAATCAAGAAATGCCATCTCTACCTGGTCGGCATGCCTCACTTTGACGTCATCGTCGATCATCGCCCTCTCGTTCCAGTGCTCAACAGCAAGCTGCTATCTGAAATTGAGAACTGCCGCCTACAGCGGATGAGAGAAAAACTCACGGCGTACACCTTCACCGCCAGCTGGCGGAAAGGATCATGCCATCAGATTCCTGATGCGCTCTCCCGTGCACCGGTCGACGACCCCTCGATGGAGGACGAGGTTGCTGAAGTCACCGAACCCGACCCGCTGCATCTGTCCGTGGTCACGGCCCTTACTGCCGTCGATGCAGAAGGGACACTTCTTGCGCCCCTGCAAGACAAGACGCTGGAGATGGTACGAGCCGCAGCGTCACGAGATCCCGAGTACACCGCGCTCCGAGACCTCATCATTCACGGGTTCCCCGATGAGAAGCACCGTCTCGACCCGTCCGTCCGTCCGTACTGGAACGTTCGAGACAAACTGGCCATCGATGACGGACTCATCGTATATGGACCTCGGCTCCTGATCCCACAAGAGCTCCGGAGAGAAACACTGCAACGACTTCACGATGGACATCAGGGCATCAACGCCACCTGCCGGAGAGCCCGCCAGACGGTCTACTGGCCGAGATGCGACTCCGATATCAAGCAGTGCGTGATGTCATGCGCACGCTGCAGCATCTACCGGTCTGCCCAGCCTAAGGAGCCCCTGTGGCAGGACGATTCGCCGCCCACACGGGTGTTCGAGTCTGTATCGGCCGACTATTTTCACTACGGAGGACGAACTTTCCTCGTCTACGTCGACCGTCTATCTGGCTGGCCATACGTGACGTCATGCCCCCGAACGGCTTCCGCCGCTCACCTCGTGACCGAACTGCGGGCGCTGTTCGCAGCCACCGGCGTGCCGGCGCTCCTCCGGTCTGACGGAGGCCCGCAGTTCACCTCAGGCATCCTCCGCCGGTTCCTGACGCGGTGGGGGGTGGACCACCGTATATCATCACCTCATCATCACCAGGCCAATGGCCACGCAGAAGCTGCAGTAAAGAAGCTGAAGAATCTCGTCCGGAAAGCGACCGACGAAGGAAACCTGGACTCGGATGAATTCGCACGCGCCTTACTGGAGCTGCGAAACACGCCCCGCGCTGACGGCCGCTCACCAGCGCAGACTCTGTTCGGGCATCCAATCCGCACAGCTCTGCCCGTCCACCACAGGACGTTTGCCAAGGAGTGGCAAGAGGCTGCAGACGTGTGCGACGCCCGAGCAGCCGACCTTCGAAAGAAAGCGAAGCGGGACTACGACGTCTCCGCCAGGCCACTAGCGCCGCTCGCAATGGGCGACCACGTGGACGTGCGGGACCCGCAGACCGGACAGTGGGACCGGACCGGCATCGTCGTGGGAATTGGAAAACGCCGCGACTACCTCATCAAAGTCCCGAGCGGGAGAATCTGGTGGCGCAACCGGCGCTACCTGAGGCGCCACCATCCGCTGATCGTCGCCGCGCCGTCTGCCGGTGACCGAGATCCGTCGCCGCCGACGCGTGCCGCCTGCCGCTCAGCCGACCAGCGACCTGCCGAGCAGACGGACGAGCCGGCGCCGCCTTCTAGCTGCGCCGGACCGGCACCAGGACCGCGCCGTAGTGAACGAACTCGCCGTGTGCCGAACCGACTGCGGGTTCGGTGGGGCACGTGTACTTATGACACGGGGACTGGGGGAGGTGTGTCGTAAGGGTTTCCCTTCAACGTGAAAGTTTCCCTTCAGTTGGAATCCCCGTGTGCTGACGAGGCAAATACAGTCGAGACGGAGACGCGGTCGTGTGCGGTTGGTGTGCGGTGCGTGCTGCAGGGGACGAACCAAATATCGTTATCGTTTAACAGACAGTAACGTAACACGACTGAAATACCCGCACATGGTGCACGCGGCAGTCTCCACCAGCGCCCCGCTGCTCGCAAAGACCAACTTCTTCGAGTATCTCGAGGTGGTCAACTATGCCATCCACGCCAAGTCGGGCGACGAGTGCTACGGCAACGTCGAGCTGTCGTTCCAGGCGGTGGAGGACCTCCTGCAGGATGCCGCCGGCTGGGCCACGCTCACCGACAAGTTCAAGCTCTGCTCCAGTCTGGACGGAACCAACTCGAACGACGTCTCCAACCTGATGCAGAACCTGGCCGACCTCTGGAGCGGCGTGGTCCAGTACAACGAGGACAACTTCGGCTTCCGCGGCGGCAGCAAGCTGGCCAACATCACCATCAACACGCTCTGCGACATTATGAACGACGCCGACACCGGCTCGCCGCTCGACAGACTTGTCGCCATCAACGACCTCATGATGGACGCCTACGAGGAGACGTGCCTCGACTTCAGCTACGACAGCATGATCGCCGCCATGCGCGACACCGACTTCAGCAGCGCCAACAACACAGGCATGCGCCAGTGGATCTACCAGACGTGCACCGAGTTCGGGTGGTACCAGACTACCGAGTCGGCCGACCAGCCGTTCGGGAGCCGCCTGCCGCTGCCCTTCTCCATTCAGCAGTGTGTCGACGTGTACGGCGCCCAGTTCGAGCAGACCTTCATTGACGCCGCCGTGGCGGCCACCAACACCGACTATGGCGCTCGCCAGCTGCCCGCCAAGCGCGTCGTGCTCGTCAACGGCAGCATCGACCCGTGGCACGCCATGGGCATCATCGAGAGCTCCGACCCGGACCGGCCGGCCATCTTCATCAACGGCACGGCTCACTGTGCCAACATGTACCCGGCGCGGGAGGAGGACCTGCCCGGGCTAACGGCGGCGCGCCAGCAGATCGGCGAGCTCATCGGAAAGTGGCTCCAGGAGGACTGAGCCTCAGAGGGCTGAACGTCGCAGGCCAACACTGGGGAGTCGCACAGATCGGCGAGCTCATCGGAAAGTGGCTTCAGGAGGACTGAGCCTCAGAGGGCTGAACGTCGCAGGACAACACTGGGGAGTCGCACGGTTGCCGAGGGAGGGGGCACGCCTGTCAGCTCACATAGTCGCCTGATGTGTCCATCCGTCAAACAAAAACTGCCTCAATTATAATCCAACCTCAACCGACCTAAATACAGAACGGGGCGCATTAATTATACAACGATGTTTTACTGATAGTGATTTTTCTTGGTCAAGCATGTCTGTGTTATATGGAACGAAGTCCATGTATATGATTTCCTCGGTCCAGCATTTCTGTTTTATGGAACGAAGCTCATGTAAATACATTTAAGCTCATGTAAATACATTTGACATTTCGACGTGGTGTTTATCACATACTGGCTTTACGTATCGCACTAGCAAAAATAACTGCGCGAACTAACCGCGATATCCCACGGCAGCACACAGCAACATCTCAAAAATGATCGCACTATCCACCAATGCACGGAGGTACCACCTTCACTGAACACGACACATTCCCTTCTGACCCCGACATCCCCTCCCCCACTGACCGCGATATCTCGAGCTGGTATCCGCCGTTACAGAGCGCCACCTGGCGGCACCAGCTGCGCAGCACCACGATCAGCTCCTCCTGCTGGAGCTGCTCCAGCGACTGACGCTGGCTCAGCTCGGCGTACGAGCTCTGCGTCTTCTCCACCGTGCTGCGGTAGCCCGCCTGGCGACGGCACGGGGAGAGGCTGACGCAGGCACGAGGCATGCCGGGTGGCAAGTACGCGGATGACACAGACAAGGAGGCATGGCTGGCACGGGCACAAGGCGAGGGCCGAGTCTGACACGGGTAATGGGGCGGGTGGCGGCCCTGGCGGTTGCGGCTGGAGGGAAAGAACAACAAGGATTATGCGGGCACGGAGCCAGGGAGCCAGGCTTAATTATGGGCACGGGGCGAGGGGCTGACACGGATACGGGGCGGTGCTTACATAGATACGGGGCGAGGCTTAAGCGGGCATACGGAAAGCATGGGCACTGTGTGAAGCTGACATGCTGACTGAGCTAAGCCTGAAAACTTAGGCTGACTGAAAGTACACGACCTCGGTTTCCAAGCGAATACTTACGATCTCGCTCGTCTTCTGCCTCCGCTTTTCTATGAGCTCCGCTTTCTCCAGCTCCTGGTCCCTTTTGCGCAGCTCCATTTCTGAAAAACAAGCAAAAGATACAGCAACAGGTATAGCTAGTTTTGGCGCGCAAAGGCAGCTTGCTACTATAGATGATTTGAGAGCGAGGCAGAAGCTCCTTCCCTTTCTTCCCTCTTCTATCCCCCTCCCTCATCTCCCCTCTCACCCTCGACCTGCTGCTGCAGCTCTGCCGCCTGCTGCGCCCGCTCGGCAGTCCGGGCCCGCTGCTCCACCAGCCGCTCCGTCTGGCGCTCCTTCAGCTCCTCCAGCTTCTTCGTCTGGGAGGAGAGGTGCTCGAGACGCGCCTGTCGCCGTGGTGGGGAGCAGGGTCGGGGTGTTAGCGGTGTGTCCAGTTACGCAAACGTTCAGGTGCGTGTTGGTAGCAAAAGCGGGCACTATCAGTGGATATTATATCGTGAAAATGTAAATGGAAATTGCGGAGTTAGGATGCCACCACCCCACATACATTTGAAATCACCTACTAGTTACACTAAAATGTGCGTGTATGAGCTCGGAGGATTTTCTATGAGAAATTTAATCAGCCATACCTACTTGGTCTACCGCCACGTGATCATCCCGCCTACCTGCGCCTTCAGGATGGCGGGCTGTTTGCCGTCCTTGAGCTCGGCCACCACCACCTGCAGGTGCTGTAGGATGTCCAGCTCCTCCTCTGTCACTTCCTTCAGCGTGTCCCTGACCTTCAGGGCGCCCTCCGTCTGGGGGTACGCGATAGAACGTGAAGACGTGCTGGATGGCTGTAAAGATGTAATGATATACATACAAAATTGTATACAAATCAGTGCATGCGGTTTAACATGATCATTTGTGGTAGAAAAGTGCCTAAATTAGCTAGATGAATCTTGACAGCACGGAAACAGAGCCACAAAGTCACTTAAGCCCGGACAAGGACCGAGCGAGCCAACTCCCAGACTGTCTCAGCCGGTCACCAGAGCCCGGGGTTTGGGTGCAGGTCCGCCCGTCCCCGGCTCACCCGCGCGTGCACGTCGGCGAGGATGGCGTCCGTCTCCTGCTGCCTGCTGACCAGGCTGCTGTACAGGGCGCCGACCCGCTCCCGCAGGGTGTCGAGGTCCAGGTCGACGATACCCTGACTGGGAACGGGGGCGAAGTGAAATCAGTCAATCACAAAACCGACGTCAACTGTTTTCTTGGCTGTCCATCATCTTGCAATGACGGCAGTACTGTAAACGTCATTACACCTCAGTGTTAGAAGTCACAGCCTCTAGCCGGTGCGTTGGTTAGCAAATCAACTAGAGACTCTTGGATCCGACTCCCACTCGCTTATAAACCCCAGACCTGGCTCCCAGGCCCCTGCCACGCACAGACCACAGACCCGACCCCCAGCCACTCACAGTCTGTTGATTTCGGCCAGCTTCCTGCGCGACGTGACCAGCATCTCGTTGGCCAGTTCCATCTGCTCCTTCAGCAGAGTCATCACCGTCCTAAGGCAGACGGACGGTATGGTTAGACGGCACGGTACTGGTTTTCGGTACATACGATGGGCAACTACTCAGCGGCACTGTCGGAATATATATTCCCGACCGGGGCTGGGAAAATGCGTTTTATTCACCGAGGTTTTTGTGCGGAGGACCGAGTGCCGGTAGGCACGAGGTCCGTAGCCAAAAACCGAGGTGAATAAAACTGCATTTTCACAGCCCAAGGTTGGGAAGAGATTTACCACATGCCGTACCGGCGCAACAGTTAATATCATATTCATTTGACATTTTACACTTTAATCTTAATATTGTGTTAATATTATATTAATACTATGTTCATATTTATAGTCACCGTGATTATTTGTTTGTGTTTTTCATTATTAGGCTGCGTTGAGTATGAAAGATGAAATTCCTACTTCCCCCTTATTTAGGGTTTGAAAAAGCTGAGGATGAAGATGGTGAAACGCCAGAAGTTAGAATAAAGATATGGAGTCCAGCAGGAGTGATGAAACCGTGAGGAAAACTAAAAATTTGGTGAAACGCTGAATCAAACGCGTCTTGGATCCCAGCTGGAACAAATGTTTCATTGTGGCACGTTAAGATGCTTCACGCATTTAAATTGTTCGTTTTTTGCGTGCATTATGTAGAAATAATGATTATTCCGACCATGTTCTGCAGCAATAAATACATTGGCATTGGAACGATAACCTTGTTTAGTTGAATTACGTTGACAGCAAAAGTATGTAAACACGCAGTCACTTACTTTTGCTGTTGCTGTTAGTGAACACACAATCCATAAAAATCTTCTTTGAAATTGGTTCTTCCGCTCAGAATATTCAGTAAAACTTTGTCTGGGAAAATCAAAAAGCCCTAGGGCCGAATCGTTTCCCAAATACCTTCAACATTAGCCGAGGCGGGCCGAAGCCATTTCCCAAATGCACGTGCTAATGTTAAAGGGATATCTCGGCATGTGGTAAATATCTATATTTCACCCCGTAACAAGAGACGATTGCATATGTGGCCTAGATACACTAAATTGTAATAAAAGGAATTAAAGATCCACGCAGACGGCTCCTAAGGTCTGAAAGCGCTCAATTTGAAAGTAATCAGCATAATTCAGCATGAATGATATAATCAGGCATCAGCTGAAATGACTAGGTATTAACCACTGCATTTGGAAGTGGAACGCTACGCTCTGCATACCCAAACAGAAACCACCCAACCCCATGTCCTTCATTCCCCGGTCACCCCTACCACATGGGTCTCCACCCTCCCCAGTTCCTCCCTCATCACGTACAGATGGTCGGCCTCCATGTTCTCCATGTCTTTGAGCGCGCCGCTGATGGAGTCGAGTGTGTCGGCCACCGTGACGCGCATCTTGTTCCGGTCGGAGGTGAGCGACTGCCGGCGCCGGCGCAGGTCGGCGTGCCGGCCCCGCGCCTCGTGCTCCCTCTTCTTGGCCACCTTCAGCTCTGGGGAGCGTGGGAAACAGAGGGGGAGGTTAGGTGGGGAGGGGGCCGGGGCAGGGTACGTTCTAAAGATGAAACGTAGATGTTGACAAAATGTCGACAAAAACCTGCATGGCAGTTAAACCGATAAGTTGGGAGCCAGCTTAGTGGGATACTAACCTTCCTCGAGGAGTTGGATCTCCTGAATTAGAGGACTGATGTCCATCTCTGCTGCCTCGCCCTCCATCTCCAGCTGAGAATGAAAGAGAGGATAAGAAAAAGCGTGAGAACTCAGTCGACAAGTTGAAGCGTGCTTCGGGAGAATACAGCCCATCAAAAAAGGCGGCCTTCAACGGGGACTGTTTAAACTAATTCACCAAGGAAGTTGATGAAAGGGGAAGTCCAAGTCGACACCATGCGTCTAACGCAGCTATTCGATGACGTAACATGTACACTAATCGCGAGTGAGCTCGCCTTGAGACATGACTGAGATCCCTCTCAATCCTTCTGACCAACCCAGGGATAGACGGATCACAGAACGAGTATCCCTTGCTGACCAGCAGCACCCGTCTCTCACCTGCTCCAGAACGTGGGTATCCAGCAGATGCATCGTGTTCCTGACCGAGATGCGCGCCGTCTGTACCTTCTCATGGACCTCCGACCAGCGCTGGGTCAGGGTGGCGAACGACCTGGGGTCAACAGGAGGTCAGGGTGGTGAGCGACCTGAGGTCAACGGGGAGATCACAGGTCACACATAGATAAAATCCGAGGCGCAAAAGCTGACGATTATTCGAACGCTGACACTACAGGAAAAAGGTGATTTTGGGGCACCCGGACTTCAACGGCATCCGGAGTTTATCGGCGCATGATTACACACACACAAAAATCATCGCTAGACATTTCTCTCAAGCGCATTGCATCATGAGCACGGAAAGCATTTATCCTTTATTCTTTAGCAACAAGTTCACCCATCAAACAATGCAGGCCGAAACAGCTCCAAAGCCAACTCATCAGGGGCTGGCTTTGAATACTGCACACGTCATAACTAGAGCTATCGATATCGACACCGCCTATGCCGGCACCACAGTGACCCATGCATCCTGCCACCCACCACCCCTCACCCCAGGGAACGGCAGGGTACGATCGCACCTGTATCGGTCCTCGGTAGACTCCTGTGCGTCGGCAGTGAGCGTCCCCAGTCGGCCCAGCTCCCGGCGCAGCGGGTCGGTGCGCTGCCGCAGTCGCCGCTCCAGCTGCACGGCCTTGTTCTTACGCAGAACCACCTGACGCAGCTGTCTGGATTAGAAGGATGTAGGAGGTTAGTCTGTGCGGGAGACACGGTGGAGCGTCGGCTTGGAGGAGCGAAAAAAAGACACAAGGCGTAGGAATAAAGCGAAGGAGCAGGCCACATTGTGTACGGGAATAGACACAAAATCGATTGGCACAGAATGAGAATATGCTAAACATGGTTTTAACACATGTTGGGAAACTTGTCTTTGATTTGGCCGATGATGTGAAACGTCCTAGTATACGGTTACGGCGCTAATAACGTCCTAGTATATGGCGCTAGATACTATTCCACTCGACACCACCCTGCTGTCGCCGACTCACTGTTTCTTTTTCTCCGTCTCGGCCTGCGTCTGCGTGACGCTGTCCTGCAGGAGAACGAGCTCCTCCTCCACCTCGTCAGTAAACTGTTCCGACAGCAGCTCGTGCAGCGAGTCGCTGCGGATCAGGTCCGCCATGCTCCGACGCATCAACTTCATCTGAGAACGGAGAAGCGCGTTACAGCAGACATGCATGCTTGAGCGCTGTCCTATAATCCATTCTAGGTTATAACAAAATGATAATGTTGACAATGAGTTGGGTAGTTGGGCGCCTAGAATTCGTAGGTCATCGACGCTCATGATACTAAAACGAGGGAAGCATTCACTGTCATTTCCTTAGAAGGGTTGTGCCTTTGTCGCGCTAATTTTTAGTGCTCCTATGACCTCCCTCTCCCCAAAACCAGCACCTCCCCACCGCTGCTGACCTGTGACCGGAGCTGCTCCGTGTGTTCAGAGGCGTCCAGCAGCAGCGCGCGGTACATCAGCACCTCCTGACGCTTCAGCGTGGTAAGGTCCATCAGACGCACGTAGATGTTCTGCACGCGGCCGCGGCCCGCACTGGCGGAACGCACACATGGTCAGCGGGGGTGGTTGTAAAGCGTCGTGCATAGGAAAAATAGGTACTGGTGCCTGGTGGTAGGTACTGCATACTTCACTCTCGCTAACGGTCATCCATGGAAATCAGACCAATGCTCTAATTCAATGCCAGAGACGGAAATGAGCGGATGTTTGAGCCTAAATGATTATACCAGTAAAACGCCTTTTGGGCGAAGAACGAGCGAGCGAGATAGTGAGCCTTGCACGTGCGGAAGGGCGAGAGGGTGCTTCCAACGGGCTTGTGCAAAGCACCCTTCTAACCGGTCGCTAGCGGTGTGCCAAATTTGAACGCAATCGGCCCAGCCGTTCCTGAGATCTGGAAGCGGCATTCTGCACGTGCGCACGTGCAAACGGGGTCCAAAATGACTTTTGCACGGCACCCTACTAACTGGTCCCAAACCGTGTACCAAATTTGAGCGCAATCGGCCCAGCCGTTCTCGAGATCTGGAAACGCCCCCTGCACGTGCGCACGTGCAGTAGCACCCTAACCGCAACACGTGGGAATGCAATGCCTGGTGAGTGCCTACCTGTATGCCAAGTTTTAGCGAAAACGCCCCAGTAATTACCGAGTTACTGAAATGGGAACAAATTTGGCACCTCTTATTGTTGTATTTTGCACGTGCACTGGGGGTGACCCACATACATCGAGAGTATCCTATTTTGGGTAGAAGGGATGCTGCTACCCTATAAAAATTACCGCAAGTCAATCGCCCAAGCGGCTGCTGAGATATGAGCCTCTCAAAATCACTACTTTTACAAAACAGCTTGAACACCCCTGACTTTTCACGTGGCACGTGCCACGACGGTCACTGAGATGTATCAAAAGTAGTCAATTACGGGGTAGAAGGGATGGGGCTACCCAACAAAAAAGACCTCAGGCCAATCGGTCCAGCGGTTGCTGAGATATAAGCCTCTCAAAAGCGTTACAGGCCGGGCCGGGCCGGGCCGGGCCGCTCATACTGAGATTTTTCCGTTATATTGAAAAGACTCACTTCGCTCGCTGCGCTCGCTCGCTCGTAATAAGTTTTTACTTTTCGGTTAGATGACCTTCGCACCATCTCAGGTAGCTGAAATCCCTCAGGCCTCCTCTGAATCCACACTTCACGCGACTCGTGCACACAACGTCACGGCTCTAATTCTCCCTTGCCCACAGCTGACCTGACTCGCTCCGCCTGAGCCACATATTGGGTCAGCTTGTGGACGAGAGCCATGTTGACCTCGATCTGACCCGAGAGGCGCTCCATTTCCAGTTGCCGCTGGGCGCGCACCTCCGTTATCACCTCAGTCATTTTGGCTGTCGAACAGAGGCGGGCGCCGCTATTAGAGAGCACGGAGAGGTATAACGAGTAGGGGGTCTAAGATACCAGAAATGGAACTCTGGGTGGGTTGAACACATGGCGCTGACTAGGACACGACTAGGAAGAGACACTGGGGTGGGTCCGGCACACTGGCAGAGACGAAGATCGTGTGACGCACGAACTAGGTACCGGGGTGGGTCCGATACGGAATGTTTTGACCTTCAGGACGGATAAGGGCTCAGATGCATAGCTGCATCTATGGGACAGTGAGTTTCGCCCTAAGCTTTAAGAAGTTCCGCCCCATCTTATCGATATTGCACGCGATGATGCGCTTTTGGTGTTGCGCGAGTAGTTGATTTGAAGATTTTCCAGCCTTTCCCGATCAAAAATAGGGCAGACTAGCCTATAATAACCTTCCAGCAAAGTCACGCACGAGCGAGAAATGCAAGACACTCCACGGCTTATGTAGTTAACCATGAGATCATACCTAACCTAGCTAGACATACCTAGATCATATCCAAGCCCAGTTAAGCAATCAGTCATCCCCCCACCCCCTCCCTTTCACACGACAGGTGGCATTACATGTTTCCTCTCCGCACACCCCTCGCCGTTTTCCTTCATCTGACCCCAGCGATCTCTAGCCAGCCCCTCACCCTGGTACTGGATCTGCAGCCGCCTGTGCAGCGCCTGCAGCAGCAGCCGGTGCCGGCTGTGCGCCATGCTGCGCAGCTCCAGCTCGTGGTGCAGCGCAGCCGCCGTGCTGACCAGCTGGCGCAGCGCGGCGCGCAGCAGGTCAGCCGGCTCCTCCAGCTCCGGAGAGTGGTTGAACGGACCCGTCAGAAGCGTGGCGTCTGTGAGGGAGGGGTGCCGGTCAATCGACGGCAGGACAACCTTTCGCTATACATCAACGATATAAGCATCTACACAATACACATTTTTGTACTACGATCCGTGGAAAGCATTTCCATCAAAACTACACGTCTATTTCATCTCAACGCAATTTAAAAGCGTGTAACTTTTTCTGAATGCTACAATTAAATCTTGAACCTTTCCGTCATGCAAAATCCCTACCCAATACCAGATGGACCCCTCGCTCAGTTCGCGCACTCACTCAGTTGTTCGAGGCAGGTCCTGGCGAACTGCAGGTGCTCGCGTCCGGGGGTCTCCAGCGGCTGGTCTACGGCCGTCAGCGCGGGCAGCGTGAGCCGCAGCTCCTCCGGCGGCGGCCGGGTCAGCGCGTCCCGCTCCAGGGTCTCCAGCACGCCGCGGTAGCGGTGCTGAAGACTGGCCACCAGACTGTCCAGGGTGGATACTCGGCCGACGCCGACGGAGGTAAGGTGCGGCCGGACGGCGCCGCGCGGCTCGTCCGGGGAGGGCTCCAGCTGCCAGTGGCCGGGCGCCGCCTCCAGCACGGACGGGGCGCGCCGCCACTGCTCGGCGGCCGCCTCCGCCTCGGCCAGGCGGGCCGCCTCCTCGTCCACGGCCGGCGGCCACAGCTCGAGCGGCGTGATGGCGCGCCGACGAGTCGCAGGCACCGGCGCCTCCGCCAGCGTCCACGAGGGCGCGGCGGCCGGCTCGGCGGCCTCGTCAGGCCGGCCGTCCGGGTACAGCTCCAGTTCTGCCAACAGGTCCAGCGGGTCGCCCGGCACCTGTGACCAGTAGTGGGAGCCCCGGCGCTGCGGTTCGTCTCGCGTCCATTGCGAGCCGCCGCTACCCTCCTCTGGTGCAGGGTGAGACTCGGCGATGGGCGGCGGCCGGGAGTCCACAGACGCCGGCTGACCGGGTTTCTTAGGTCGGGTTCCACGAGGCATGCTTAGGCTGTGGTGATCTGGAGGCTGATTGGCTCACTCGGGTTTGGTGAGCCGCTGGATCCAGGATTTCCCGGCAAAGCTCGGGTCAGGTTTCAGAGCCAGCGAGTCGTAAGACCACTGGCAATTATCACAGTTCACGGGTCTGACAAGACTGGGATGAATAAACCTTCCTCTTTTTTAAGAGGCGGGGTTGCCGGTCAACCAATGCTCAGTTACCCATACATCTACTGCGATGTCTAAAATTGGTTAACATTGCTCAATAAAACCGGTTAGATATTAGAACCTATTACAATTTAGTCGTAAGTGAATCGTTACCTCTGTACCCACATGTCAAACACCCAGACCAACAGATAGTTCACAAAAACCAATCGACGCAATTTGGGGCCTTGGCAATTTGCAAGCCTGTGGAGAAAAACTTTCGGTCTCGTGAATTTCATCGAGCAAGTGCTAGCAGATAGCATACGACGGAATCCTTTCAATCCACGCATTCGTATATTCAAAACTACATTTACGAGCATCTGGCAGCACCACAACGATTTTTCACTCCCACTTGCAGAACTCTTCATAATTATCACCTTAGACGGTCCTCAGTCACCTTCAAAATCAGCACAACAAAACGACACACCTCATCACTCGCTGCCGCGCACTCCACCTCCCCCCCCCCTCTCCCCGCGCACTACTAGCTCTTCTCTGGCGCTGCTGCTGCCGCTGCGGCAGCTGCGGCCGCCTCCTGGGCCGCCCTCCTCTTCCGCTTGTCGGGGTCCATGCCGACCTCTGCCAGCTGCTGTTTCAGCTCCTTGAGCTGCAGGTCGGGCACATAGCGCACCTCGTCGTACTCGCTCTTGTGGCGCTGCAGGCACGCCTGGACGCCCGGCGGTGTGCTGTGCTGCAGCAGGTCGATCACCACTGGCGCCATGGTTGTAGGCAGGTCACGCAACTGCCGATACAGGAGGGAAGGGGGAGGGGTGAGCTGTTGCCGCGGATGGCGGGATCGAGATCTGCCGAGTCACCAGGACAGTGTATGACTGTTCAATACGAGCACTCGACGCGGAAGCACACAGTGAGCAGCCTTGGTGTAGATTTTTCGAATGTTTCTGGTAGCATCCGCGTGCAATACGCTAGACGCGCAGGACGTGCGTCTGCGTAGTGCCACTGTACTCGCAGTAGGTACCGTAACTCCCAATGGGAAATAATAATCTACGTACTACAAGTCACAACAGCCAGCGCAGCAATTCCAACAAGTTACCCTATTCATTCCTATTGTTGCTCTATTTCTCTTTTCCTGCCTCAAATTTAGTGCCGAGGCGTCCCACATTTGAAAGATTCTGTGCCACTTCTAATGACACTCCTACGACAGCCAACAAATACATCAGTCACACTAGGTTCGGCGGCCGACTTACCTGGACGTTCCTCTCGTAGAGATTCAGATCGTAGGAGGTCTCCACAATGGCCGTGTTTGGTTTCAGCCGGGTGACGCGGGCACTCGTGTGGGGAGTCGCCCAGCTGTCACCAAAAGCAGAGTAAGTCACGGAGCAGAGCATATTCGCCTCGTGACTCAGAAGTGGCTGACATCTGGTGGCCGTTTCCTGAACTACTATAGGTAGGATCCGGCGGCCGCTCCGCAGGCAGACCGGCCGGTCTAATCTCACGAGACCTCGGATTTCGAATACTTTTTCTTTCAAAATTGGAATGCAATGCACATAATTCGACGACAAATTCCTCATAGATCACGAATAATGATTCTCATAGCCCATCATACATCCTTTCACAGTCAAAAGGGCCCTGAACAAAGCGTCCCGTGGCACTTCGTAAGCAGTATTGGTGATTACAACCAATGTTAGGGCGGTAAGGGCGGCCGATAAGGATATTGCAATCCGCCGAAAGAGCAAGGTTCCGGGCACATTGTCTGAACCCTCGCCGTAACGGTTTTCTACGTAGGTAGGTACCGCCCGATGCTTTGGAACCGCCCTGAGATCTTGAGAGCATTCATATGCCGGCATAAGACATTCACCTTTTATAGCCCGTCACAGGCCGACGTGGGGCCCTCAGAAATAGGCATGGAGTTCTCGGAAACCTGCATAAGGTCCTCATTGACTACCGTCGGAACTTAAATCTGCGATGGGCCCCAAAACGCCACCGTGGAGCCCTCAAAGACCTGTAGATTGCAGCCTTCAGAAACCAGCGTGGACGCTCGGGTGCCGATGTAGAATGATCAGGGATTGGTGAGGGCCAACGGTGAGTTCAGTGCGGGTTCGCTCAACCTTTCAAATGACCTGTTGACCAGTGGGATGGAATGGAACAGACTTACAACACCAGCTGCTCGAACGGCGCCCCGGAAGGCGAAGGGACATGTTCATTTCACATTGCTTTTTGCTAATGATATCTGCATGTCAGGGCCAAAAGGCAGTAGCTACTAGCCTGAGCACTGAGCAGGGAATGAGGGATGTATTCGGTTCAGAAGGGGCTGATTCTGCTCCCAATGATAGGGGGGGGGGGGTTGGATATGTTATCTGTGTAATTCAAACTCAGTTCTGAGTTATCACTTCAGATTCATAAGGCTTCGGAGGGTGGAGCCTTATGACCAGTGGCACCAAAAATTTGTGACTTTTACATTCTTCTATTCAGTTATCAGTTACATATGTGAAAGATAAATGGCCCTGGCAATGAAAATAACTTTAAGGGTACCCCAGGCTTGTTGAAGGGAAGGTATGAATGAACACCCGAGGACATCAGATTGCTTCCCTCTCCCAGGTAGTATTCTCACACCATTGATCATATGATGTTGATATAGTTCAGGAAACAAAAGAGATATATGTGCAAATTCAGGCCAGCTGTGAACGTATATCATTCGGATTACAATGCCTCTAATGCCACCAATACTGCACCAACTTCTAAAGCACTGAGCAGAGGTTGTAACTAACAAAGCAGACCATTTGTCGATTCAATGCTGAGTAAGGGGGTGACTGAGGTGAGGTGCAATGAGCTAAATATGTTCTGTGCTCTGCTGGACACATGTGCAGAACACATGTAGCATATTGTGCTGCACCACACATGCCAGCAGGCAGCAACAGACTTAATTGTAGGTCTAATCTCTTCAGCTACCTCCTTGAAACAAACAGCCATCTCAGCAGCAAGTGGGTTTTGAGGGTTGGCAGCAAGACTCCTCAGTTCCTTCCTTCCAGGGCTGCAGCCTGCTGCTGGAAGCTGCCTCAGAAACCCTAGCATAGTGGAACAGCTGCTGTTAGCAGTGGAATCGGGTTGGCAGCCATCACTTCTGACTTCCGATTTCGGTCAAATGCCACTAGTACCTGGTTGTAGTCTGAGTCCTGTCTTTTGTACTTGTGTGGTCATGTCATTGTCATACCATGCTATTGCTACAACATGAAAGATTGCATATGCACCTTATTGCCTGAAATATATCCATTCTAATAATGGAAACAAGATCATTTAACGAATTGCCATGCGTCTTTGTAAGCTGCTTCAGACTGAGATTAAAAGTCAAAGGTCATAGCGATTTCTGCAGCCAAATGCTGTATGATATTCACTAGCGATAGCAGGGTAATTTACTCCAAAGGTCAAAAACCCAAAACGTTACATAAAAGGGATCAAAATCGATAATAATCAGATTCCCCCAACCCCAATTTCCACTGAAGCTGATACAGAAATACACGTTTACCGGTTTTCGTAACTCGTGCGCCACATTCGCTATCCTATCTATACGGTTCTACGGTGCTGCCACCTAGCGAGGTGTCACGAGGCGAATTGTGAGGACGTTTGGAGCTGGGTGTGACCGATAGCACAAGGGGAAAGCGGGGAACACGGGTCACGGGGAAAGAAATAGGTACATATGAAAAATCGAACGAAATGCGGATAACAAGTGGCAGAGCGCAGAACAGTGGGGCACAAAAAAAAACGATGGAGCACAGCAAGGATCACCGAAACACGGCGGAGATGCCTCACAGGGAAATGGCAGGAACAAGGGACATCACAGGGAACATGGTGTAACAGATAAGAACATTGAAACGTAGAGGAAACACATAGGTAGCACAGCTGAATACGGCGAACGTTGCAGAGAATATGGCGCCGGATTATATTAGAAAACAGGCATTGTAACGAGAAAACATGAGAGCACACAGGGAGCACGGGAACACGGCGAAAAACATAACACAAAGGAGAACAACGGTGAAAAACACAACGCAACGAAGAACACGAACATACGATGAAGAACACAGGAACATTGCGAGGGGAAGGAAAGACGGTAAAGGAAAGTAATACTGAGGCATAAGGCCTCGTCCGCAAACCACCGTTCACGACCCACTATCAGACCATCGCCCACCATCTATTATCCACTATCCGATCCCCGTCCACCGTTTATTATCCACTATCCACCATCCCCTCTTTCATCGCCCGCCCACTTTTCAGGGCGAATGATAAACCCGTCCAGTTTCCATCCTCTGTCCGTCATCAACTCACCAGTCCTCGACGTCGACGTCAACGGCCCGCAACATGCGGTGCACCCACTTGGCGTAGTGTTCCAGCACGGCAAAGTCGTACGCCTGGAGTCGGATGTTCAGCAAGTCGTACACAGGCACCATCGGCTCGGAGGGCTGCGACCAGAGGATGAAGGTCATCGCACGAGCCGACCTTTCTTTCAATCTTCAATACCAACAACCAAGAACTTTTCCTAACCCATAAGTTATTGTCAGGTTTTAAGAGACCCAATATCAAATAACTCGTGTGGGTGTATGCAATTTCCCACATCGAAGATGCACCTTCATATTTCAAACACTACTCCAACTCTGCCGCCCGCCCCGACATCACCACACTGACCATCAGCCGTTTGCCCAAAATCGACACACTGACCGTCAGGTACTGCGGCTCCAGCTTCTGATTAGTGACCTTCACGAGTCGTGGCGCACGGCGCGGCCGGCCGGCCGACGTGGACAGCCGCACCATCTGGCCAGCGGCGCGGCTGGACACGAGGAGCGCGGTCCTCCGCAACATTTCTGCACAGAGACAGACAGACTAGACAGTCAGATGTACACACAGTCAGACATATACATACAAACAGCTGGACACGAGAACACTAGCCTTTCGCCACATTTCTGCACAGAGACAGACAGAGTAGACACTCAGACATACAGGCACAGACAGAGACACGGTCATATAGACACAGCTGGTGCAGCACTTTACATAGTGACTGACAAGTGACATGACTGATTTTAGATATTTTATGCATGCTTTTGCGGGTGTTGCTTTATATTGACGTGTATATTGTATGTGTGTGTGTCTGGGTGTGTGTATCATGTATTGACTGGGCCGTAATAGCCACTTGTGGACAAGCCCTAAATAAACGAAACGAAATGAAACGAAAACACAGACACGTATAGAAAGTCAGGCATACAGACAGATGCACTAACAGATACAAAGACTGACAGACATACATGACAATAAGGTTAGGTTAGCTTGGTTAGGTTGGGTTGGAATGGAAATTTCCAACATTTCAGGGAAATAAACACCAAAAAACGCCTTTTGGGCGAAGAACGAGCAAGCGAGATGGTGAGCCCTGCACGTGCGAAAGGGCTAGAGAGTACTTCCAAGGAGGCTTGTGCAAAACACCCTCCTAACCAGTCGCTAGCAGTGTGCCAATTTTGAGCGCAATCGGCCCAGCCGTTCCTGAGATCTGGAAGCGGCATTCTGCACGTGCGCACGTGCAAACGGGGTCCAACCTGACTTTTGCAGGGCACCCTACTAACCGGTCCCCAGCCGAGTACCAAATTTGAGCACAATCGCCCCAACCGTTCTCGAGATCTGGAAGCACCCCCCCCCCAATATATAGCCTTTGCAAATATTTTGATTTTCAGTGCCTCTCATGCTCTGTGGTCTGTGGTCATCAACTCACTTCTTTGCACCGTGTATTGGTATGTTGAGGTTCCCTTGAGGTATCCGTGACTGATAGGTATCTTATTTGAATTAAAATGTATGGTATTTTAATCCAACACCAGTCTACCAATTCAAACATCGCACACTCCCACCTGCTCCCACCCGCATAAATGTTGTTGTTGTCAAGTTGTTGTTGGGTTAGGGCGCGTAATCGCGAGGCTAAAGCGTCCAACCACCCGCATAAAGAATCACCGACTATGCACAGTTGGCACAGTATTTGTATAAATTGAAATACGACACCCGAATCAAAACAGCTCCGGCGCTAACGGAAGGCACTGCGTCGTAAATGAAAATCTTACGCTGTATTTGTCTTCAAATAAATGCTTCCATATTGAAGTTATTTTTAGGCATTTTTTATGGGACAGAACGGACAGCACTATTCAACCGCCACCCTTGAGGTCATTCTACAACTCGGGAATCACCGATCCGATCGGAATTCGGAACGCACTAAACACCATTCGAATCAGGCAGGATCGTGGGGGCAAATGCCCCGCACGCAACAGAATTGCCCCCCTCCCCAGTCGTCGAGATTTGCCCACTATAAAATGGGCATAAAGGAACAGGGTGACAAAAAAAAAACGACTTGTTTTGCAATGGATGTCAAAGTCAGCCTGCAAGTAATGACCAGTGGTGGATCCAAGGGTGGGTCATATGGGTCATGACCCTCCCCCCGCTCCATTGGGGCCCGGGGACACCACAGGCCTGCCAGGGGCTGGGGGCACCACCGGCCTGTCAGGGGCACCACAGGCCTGTTGGGAGCACCATCGACCTAGCAAGAGCACCATAGGTCTGCCAGGGCCCAGGGGCACCACAGATCTTCCAGGGGCTTCACCGACCTCACCGACCTCGCAGGGGCACCTTGGGACTGTCAGGGGCACCACAGGCCTGTCAGGAGCACCATCGGCCTAGCAAGAGCACCATAGGTCTGCCAGGGGCACCACAGACCTGCCAGGGGCCCCACCGGCCTCGCAGGGGCACCACCGTGGGCCTGTCAGGGGTGCCACCACAGGCCCGCCAGGAGCACAACAGGCCTACAGAGGCACCACAGGCCTAGCAAGGGCACCACGGACCTGTCAGCGACACTACGGGCCTGTCGGGGGCACCTCAGGCTTGTCAGGGCCAAGGGACACCACAGTCCTTTCAGGGGCACTACAGGCCTGTCAGGGGCACCAGAGGCATAGCAGGGACACCACATGCCTGGCAGGGGCACCACCGGCCTCGCAGGGACACCTTGGGCCTGTTAGTGGCACCACGTGCCTATCGGGGACACTCCAGACTTGTCAGGAGCACCACAGTCCTGTCAGGGGTCAGGGGCACTAGCGGCCTAGCAGAGGCACCACCGACCCAGCAGGGACACCACCGACCTCGCAAGGGCATCATGGGCCTGTCAGGGGCACCACGGGCCTGTCGTTGGAACTTCAGGCTTGTCAGGGGCACCACAGTTCTTTCAGATGCACCGGCGGCCTAGCACCATGGCACCGCCGCACCATGTTTGGCCGGGATCGCGATTCGGCGTACTCGTATGTCGCCTCGCATTAGCCGCGCGTTTGCAGTCTTTTCGTGGTTTCAAACGTTCAAACATGGGATATGATGTTGCTCCCATGCATTAGGGTGGGTGTCAAGGTCACCGGAAGGTCAGGTCAGGTCATTGACCTTTGGTGACCTCGGTTCACTTTTTCGAGTTTTGCATGTTTCTAGGCTAGTTTTTGGAGCTGAATTCGAATTTAGCAACCATTTGAACATTTACGAAGTAGTTTTGGTGCCTTCGTAACATGTTACGAAGCTGTCAGAGGCGGATAACAGGTACTACGAATACCCGTCACGACCCCTACCGGTTGACCTGACCTGACCTGACCTGACCTGACCTGACCTGACCTGACCTGGTCTAAACGCTTAACGACATCATCTGCGATCAAAACTAACACGATATTCGTGATCAGCACCCCGGAAAACCCCTTAGCAGCCACGCTTTACGACTTTCTAACAGGTCCCGATATTCCCGATTTTTGTGTCATTGACCTGACCTGGAAGGTCAACCGATGACCTAGGATCTTAAAATTGGGTATCATTGGCTTTCTCTCGTGACGGGCAGCACGCTCGTTTTTTTTTTCGCGAAGCTCTAGCTCTATCAGGGGCCAAACGCGAGGGGGGGTCGTACTACCGCCCCCCCCCCCCCCTTGTGCCGTCGAAGGACTCAAAATGGCCTGTGCGGGCGAGGGTTGAAACCGGAAAGGTAGTACCGGACGTCCGGTCGACCTTTATTTTTGCTTTGCTTCTGAATGGGCAAATCGACGCCACTGGGTGGGCAATTGTCGTGATTGGTATGGCGCGGGCTAAGCCCGCGCCCTGATGGGGGGCCATTTTGGCCCCCCCCTGTGGTTTTTCTTAAATAGCGAGAAAACAGCGGCGCGCAGCGCCGCCAAATTTTGGGTACCTTACCGGGCATCAATTTGACACCTTCACACAAAATTTCAAGTCACAGGTCACCTCAGGTCAGGAGTTATTGAGGTCAAACTGAGGTCATGTTCGAGTAAAAATGAGCAAAAAACATGACATCTTGAAACGCTCACCAATTCTACAGTTAACAAGCAATTTTAAAGTTCTTTATGTGGTTGTGTAGAGAAAAGACGGCGCTACAACACTGCTATCTCGGATTTTCGAAATTTTGGGATTTTGACCCCCAAAAATCAAAAAATTGATTTTTTTAGAAAAACTCAAAAAAATTCTAAAAAGAAAAATTCGAATTTCGAAAAAAACGGAATATATGTGATAGTCCCTACGCTCTTCCATATACATACCGAATTTTAGATCGATACCTCTTTTTTTGGCCAAGTTATAGCGGAAAAACTGTTATAAATTGATGACGTCAAATTTTCGAACTCAATTTTTAGCAATTCTAGACCTCGTAGCGCAAAACAGAGACCAACATTGAACTCCCCGTGACGAGCTGCATCGAATCTATACCCATTTTATGCAAAAATATCAACTTTGAAATTTCGCCTAATTTGACCTGACCTTGACCTGACCTTGACCAAAACGTGACCTAAGCTGGCCCTAAAGTCTGTCTGACCCACATAATCGCATTTGTCATGTAAAATGAACCATAAAACATGTATCACACGACACTTTCATATTGTGACCCCACCCCCCCCCCCCCCAGTGACCTGACCTCTGTGACCTGACCTGGTATCAGTGACCTCAAATAGCAAAATATGTGTTTGAAGAACATTTCCCCATCGATGATTTTCAATGAAATGCATTTTACACGATTTTACAACGCATTTCTTGAAATGCCTGTAAACGGTGAAAATTCGACCTTTGACCTGACCTGTGACGTCATCGGTTTGACCGAGGTCAATGAAATTTGGTCACAAGGCAGTTCCCCGTTGGGGCTATCCAACACCGTTTACCGCTTGTCGCTATGTTGCGTGGTTCTCGAGATCTGAGGGAGGGGGGCCAAAATGCCCCCCCCCCATCAGACCGCGTTGCTCGGCAGACCCCATCTGGGCGCGGGCAAGGCCCTAAGGCGCGGGTTAGAGGAGGCCCTGATTTTTTTGCCATAATTAGGACTCATCCAAGCATTACGTGCTCCTGCTCGAGCGAAATTTTTGTCGTGCTGCCATATTGAAGGATTTTTTTCAGAAGAATGCAGACACTTGGGTAACACCGCCCACTTGGGAAACTTGGTGCACATTGTGACACCTATAATCCAGGAGTGGCGCATTTCAAATAAAGAAAGAACGTTGCGTAGCGTTGTCAGCGCGGCCACCGGCTGGGCGCCTTCCGTAATAACGGAACACCCGGGCCGCACGCACAGCCGTTCCGTAATTGGGGGATGTAGTGATGGCCATGAAAATAAAAGACGCCATGGCGAATAAAGTGGTACCAATCGAGTTGAAATACCATCAACAGAGTTCTAAAAACATTTTTACAATATTGTCTTTCAATATTTCCAATATTCATCGCAAATGTCTTATTTTCTGAGGATTTTCTTCCACTGTTGTGAGTGTGACACATAGATATAAAGTCTTTTATATCTATGGTGTGACACCTTCAGCACTATGGGCGCCATTGCTTCTTTGTAGACGCCATTGCTTCTTTCAGCTTCTTTGAAGACTCTAAGGGCCTGTTCCAGCGCCTCCAGAAACCTCCAGAAACCTCCAGAAAGCTCTAGAGTCCTCCAGAGAGCGTTCCAGCGCCTCCAGAAAGCTCCAGAAAGCTCTCGCCAAAGCTCCAGAAACCTCCAGTAACCTCCAGAGAGTTGAGAGGTCCAAATTTCTCTGGAGGCTCTGGTCTACAATTATGGCGCACATATGACAATCACGAATGTAAACAAATAACTTTTGACTGATCATTTTACAACTTGAATGTAAAGAAAATTACATTGCTATAATTTTGTTAATCTTTTTTACTAAAATTGAAAACATTTTGCGTTTCAAGAGAGAACAATCGTCATTCTTTTGGTATCTATGACGCCAATCTCCAGAAATCTCCAGATTGCGTTCCAGCGCCTCCAGTGAAACCTCTGGTAGAGCCTCCAGTCAAGAATTTCTACTGGAGGCGCTGGAACAGGCCCTAACTTTGACCCGTACTTACTATCGCACTTCTGCTGATCGAGTATCTATGTACACTAGTTCAATACGCTCTCTCCGGCTGAATTTCGAGCAGAGGCCGCCGATAGGTATTGCTGGCCTGGCCGTGGGCTACAGCCTACACCAGGGGGCGTCGAAGTCTAGTTCCTACCAACCTGGCACTCCCATGCCTACGTCACCACGAGGACGCCCGAGGGCATTTACATGTTGAAGATAGGGAAATTGCCATAGTTTAGAGCCGCCTGAAGGGCAACCTTGAGATAGATGGTAATGTAAATGTGTGCTAATATGATCAACATCTTATTTATCCAAATCCAGGGCCAATTAATCGATAACCTGTCACGTTTTCCAGTGGTGATGCGCTAACGTTCGTGGTTCTTGCAGCCAATAAGGGTGTTTCATAGTGCGATTCAGCCGCATTATCGACTTTAATGCCATAAACCGCCACGGAACATACGATTTGCAGCTCCCTGGCGTGATAGCTGCCAGTAGGGCTCCGGAGTCGGAGTCATGAAGTCGGTCGGAGTTGACAGTTCTGACGTGAGTCGTCGAGTCGGAGTCAGAGTAGATTTCAAAAGCCTGGAGTCTGAGTCAGTCACCGAAATTCGATCCCCTCCGCAGATCTTTCAGGGTTCCGTAGTCGGAGTTGTAGTCGGTCGGAGTCGACAGTTCTGACCAGAGTCAGTGTCAGAGTCGATTTTGAAAGCCAGAGTCGGAGTCGGAGTCACCAAAAAACCATTGCCTCCGCAGACCTGCTGGGGCTGTGGAGTCGGAGTCAGTCAGAGCGTCAGAGCCGACATTTGAAATCAAAGTCAGAGTTGATTTTTTGAAAGTCTGAGTCAGAGTCGGATTCATCAAGAAACCCATCGACGATCCGCAGTACCATGCAGTAAGGGCGCTGCCGTTCGATGCCCCTGAATTGCCTATGAATTGATTGAATAGATGACAATTGATTAGGTAGGTACCTTCTATCATTCATCCCCTGCCACTTGGAGGACTTACTTTCAGTAGAAAAGACGCATTATTTTGTTTGTTTATAATATTTATTGACAAATATTTTTTGAGCAGTTAGGGATACAGACACAAAACACAATGATAGCGCGCTCGCTGGTGCAAATAATTGCTAGATTGATGTTGAGATGTGTTGCCATTGAAGAATCTACTGATTTTCCTGGCGGCTCTCGTTTTCAAGTAACTACTGGTCTTGTAAGATCTCTTGATTGCTCACCGTCTGGCGTCTTCCAAGTTTTCTGAAACCTAATCAGTAATCAAACGTTACCATGACTGCTTTTTGATTGCATGGCGCTTGCTGGTTCTGCTTAATTGGTGGTTCTTGCGTCTGATCCTGTTGCTCCATGTTCCATCACATCACATTAAATTTCTAATGGAACAGACACTTCTACCTTTTATTTCACTATCAGTCGACTTGCTTTTACCCCTGTGGCCTGCTCGCCCTTTTATTCCCACGCTGGAATCTATCAATTATTGAAAAAGCCTCGGATAAAAAAGCAAGAAAAGTATGTCAAGTTAAATAATTGAGACGGTCCTAGAAAACCAGAAAAAAAATCAAAAAGCCTGTCCATCTCACTTCCCTCACTTCATAACAAAAACCACGGTATATAGAGAACTAGGTAAAACCGGTTTGCCGCCACAACACTAAGGTATTTTAACCACTATTTTCAGCTGGCCTTCTCAGTCCAAAAAAAGAAACTAGGCCACGTATCTTTATGTGTTTTATTATTTTTATATAAATTGGCAATAAAATTGCACAGGGCAAGACTAGCGTAACTCTGTAAAGTATTTGCGAAGATAATTTTTTGACCGACCACGCCATTTCGAAAATAATATATCTTTGGTTGTAGGAGTTTGTTATTGATTAAATCAAATTTTCATCCTTAAAAATTTAAATTAATAGTAAAAAAGTATTATCAAATGCCAATACTGTTTCTTTCAATTTCGAAACCACCAAGCTCAGCAAATGGCGGGCCCACCTGACCAGCCAACGTTTTACCACAAATTCTCGAATAAAATCAGTTGTATAGGTTGTAAATCATGATCGAACAATATCAAAGTTGAATATTCTTTCCGATTTTATGTGTTATTTCATTTGTTCATGCTCAAAACTAGAATAAATCGATGTTGAATGTAAAACCACCTTTGGTGATCTTGGTCACACTGTTTCACTAGATGTAATGGTTTTCAAAAACAAGACCGAGTCGGCGTCTGAAACGTTCACCAAAATATGCAGAAATGCTGACATTATAAGGTGTCAAAGTATCAAAGCTCATCTAATGGGGGAACATTGTCAATTTTGCTTCCAAATCCGAAAGTTGGCATTTTGGGTACCAATCAACTCCGAACAAAAAACATTGATGCTCGGTAAACATGGTGGTGATGGGTTCGCAAAAGTTCTTAATCAAAATGAAAATTTTATTTTCTTCCCAAGTATGCATGTTTTATTGCAGTTTCGGTGCTATAAGTTATATATTTTTGGTCTATAATGTATCAGCCTCCTTGCTGTTTGAGGTCACACTGTAACAGTCAGTGGCATATTACTAAAAAATGAGACCGAGTCGGCATCTATTGAGGGTACTATATGAAACAGAATTTAATTTTCTATCTGATGTTATAAGTTTCAAAACATGACTAATGGGGGAACATTACGAAATTCGATGTTAAAAGCTGCTGACCACGATTATACACCCACAGCTGCTCACGGTTTCGTGTACTGCAAATGCTGCTAATATAGTTCTGACGCTAGCAGACGCACGTTTTTGCATTCAATTGGCTGCCACGGCGTTCCATGTGATGATAGAGAACATCCCTGGTTTTCGACTTTTGTGTGTTGTGTATATTTGTTTATTAGGCACATTTCAATTCAAATTTGAATTTGCTTCTCTCACTTCGGTGGGTCTTGGAGTTGTGGATATATTTTGTGGAGCGCGGAGCATCGGGGATTTTTGTGGAGTATTGGATTGACGTTTTCTTGGTGTTTTTTTTTAAGATATTTTCAGAGGCTACAATGCCACCAGGAAGACCAAGACAAGACAGTGCTCATGCCCGAATCATCGGCAACACAGGATGGCAAACTTCGCCTCCCCTGGCTTGTATGAAGCCTTGATTTCCATTTAAGGAAGTAAGTCTGTGCCCAAATGGATGATGCACGTGTTGGGCATTTTTGCAAAACAAAGCAGTTGAAAGGGTTCATTTGCCGAGGCTGTATGGAGTACGCCAAGCAATGTCATGCTGATGGGGAGACGTGAGTATGACAATGAAACATACTACAATTCTTGGCAAAAGGGCTAGCAAAATGCATCATTGAGTTTGACAATTCTGTACCAGTCATTGTCAAGCTGGAAATCTGGGTAACGGTAATTGGTAAAGCTGGGGTCACCGTCAGCATATCAATATAGGTATCAGTCGGGCAAACTGCAGGGAGGTAATCTAAAATAAGATTTATCTAATTTAAGAATATGATGTCACCCAAATGTGCTGAGTGATGACCATATAAGGAATGATGATCAATATTTAGACTATATTCCCGACATGTCCACATTTGAACCCTCCACAACCATCGAAGAACTGCTCATAACCACAATATTTGTTTTGCTGACTGACAGGCAAACCATGATTTAACAAATTGTGAACTGGCCAGCTCATTTGAGATTGGAATTTGTCACTGGTGACCAAGATATTTGGGCATTAGTAGAGCAGATGTTACACAGAGGTTTTACAACTGAGGAGAAGTGCTCATATGCTTCTTGCTTCCAGAGATGCTTCTTTTTAACACCAAACCAAACCTTACCTGACATAATCTAACCTACAAGTCAGCATACAAACTAAAACCCTACAACCTACAAACCTACAGCTGTGCCTCTCCTTGGTTGGAAACCCTTCCTATGAGCATCCTGCTCTCTTTGCCTATTTATCTACTTGGTAAGCATAAGCGCCTTTATTTGACATCTGCTCTACTAGTGCCGTTAATTTTAATTTGTAACCTAACCAAACCTAACCTAACCCAAACCCTGCTCATAACTGTGATAAGTTGCAGTCCTAACTCCTAACATCACTTTGATTCTCCTCAGCCAATTACATCAAGAGGGAGACCACACTGACAGGGGTCCAAGATCCAACTCAGGCCCTACTGTAAGTGTGGATGTCTTGACCTGTAGCCAGAAGCACTGCCACTGGAGCACAGCAGCTAATTCCCTATCTTCCTTCCAGCTCCACAATGGTCTGCATTTCTGCAATGGTCTCAACAGGCCTAACTGAACACAAAGGGCATTTTCACTTGCTAACAGTTTAAGACTAATATTATTCTAAAAACGGTTGTAAAGCAATGTATAATGAAATAGATATACGATGTATATGAATAGAATTAGGTGTGCTGATACTTGTACTTTATGAACTTGAACAGTGAACACTAGAGTAACTAATTCAACTATTTCTTGTTATTCAGACTGTCCGCCAGCGGACGGAGGCCCGGCGACGGACGCTGGCTCAGTGGCCAACAGTGGTCCGCCCGCCGGCTGATGGTGGCTCGCCGACCGACGCCGGCCCGTCGGCTGACCACGGCATTCCGGCTGATGGTGGCCCGCCAGCCGACGGAGGTCCGCCGGCCATTCGTGGCACGCCCGCCGACGGTAGCTCGACACGTCCTGGCTATGTCACCCCCAAGATTACTTCGCCCCCCAGTCCCTAGGTGAGTGGCTGGAGAGTGGAGAGAACTTTGTGTGTTGCCGGGACGGGATGTCTGCTAATGCAGATGCCGTTGCAGGGGTCGTGACGTATGATGGGTCTCAGACTCGGGCCTCGACTTTTGAGTGAGAAACGTATAAACAGGCTAATGTATTGCAATTATGGGCTATGGCTAAGTGTGCGACAGGAAACGCTATGAGCTATGAGTTATCGTCGCCGTGGCGGAAATTTGAGGACCGTCGCAACCTGTGATGTCGCCGTGACTGCTAATTGACGGTCGCCTTGGATCGTGTGTAACGGTCACTGTGCCTGGTATGTGACGGCCGCCGTGATTGTTAATATAACGGCCGTCGCGACTGAAACGTGACGGTCGTCGTGAGACCTGACGTGAGACCTGACGTGTCGCTGTGTCACAGGTCACCAGTTGCGGGCGCTCCATCTGACGGTGTCGTCCGACGGCTCCACGGTGACCAGCGCCGCCACTGCGGAAACCATCCGACCCCGAAAATGCTGCTAGCCGTACACGAACAAAGGGCGCCGGGCACCCAGGACCAGCGCCCTGCTCCGAGGCGGTGTCCAAAGAAGGCTGCACAGTGCACTTGCTGTGCTAAGGCATAGTGCCCGCTGACTGATAGGAACAAATGACGGTCAGTTATCAGATTTCAGTATGGAACTCAAGATGGTCGGAGCCGACCTGGCTCGGTGGATGGTGTGCCAGGGTTGATTAAGTGTCGAAAGGAGTGAGATGCCCAGATATGTGAAGGATACGTCGATACGAGCCCCGGCTTCGACTCCCCGTCCCAAAACGATGTTGGTTGTGATTGGAGGATCCCCCACCCCCACCCCACCCACCCCGGAATTTGTGCTATGTAATAGAACGATAATATGTCGTGGTCTCATTCTGGCTCGATATGGTAATAGGTACTTAATTGGACAGATGTTGATGGTATTGGTGGTGGATGTTAATGGCAGGTTTGGCGAGCGCGAATTAATAATCGTGAGTGCACTAGCTGCAATCAGTCGCGCGCTTATTGCTGAGCACCTGTGAGCAAGAAAATTATATGAATGTGGTAGTTCGTCGTGAAATCTGTGTACTTTTGGATTAAGTTGTCAGAACATAAGTGTATTTTTGCCGTGTCCACTGCAGCTCTGAAACAGAAACATGGAGATCGGCTGTGTGCTGTAGCTGCGGGGGCAAGTAGTCCGCGCGTGCCAAAAAATCAAAGGTGGTATGTGAATTTAAGTGAATATACCTCGCTATATTTTCAACTTTATTATTACAACAAATGCGTCGACTGCTGATTACCCTCGGGTCCTAACAATAACGTTTGCGATACTGGAAAGTACATAGACAATAGATACCCTTGCGACCGACTGGCGCGATCCGAGAATCTCTCTCACTGTTTTTGCTGACCTACACACGAAAACACGGCCGAATAGCTACCATCGAGAGCACGGAACGATGCTGGTGACTGACGGACCAGCGAAAATAGAGCTCCCGTCTACTCGCGGAACAGCGCTGATTGGCGCGGCTCACAGACTCCATTGGCTCATCAGAGTTCAGACTGTTGACGGTTGTTGCTCCTCCCTCCCCTCCCCGAGAGGGCGTAGCCAAGTAGCTTAGTTGTGTGCGCAGCGGGCGGCCAGCGGGCGGTCTTTTTGCATCTGTGTAACCGTTGAGTGGATGGTATCCAGACGAGCTACGCGTCGGCGTCGCCCTTCCAGCGGCCGGGCAGCGCAGGTGGACGTGCCGCGGATGGTCCGCCTCCGATCTCGGCACACTCTGCAGAGTGCGGCTGGACGCTCCACGGAGTTGCATAGCGTTGATAGGCCGTATGGTGTCGCTGTCGTAATTATAAAAGCGTAAGTAGAAGGTTGAAGCAATATAGAATGCTATCTTTTTCGAGCTTTGTTGCACATAATTTAGTAGGTATTGGCCGTTTCTTTACAAATAATATCGCAAAGCACAGCTTTATGTGCTGGTAACGATATGTGCGCGTCGGTTGCGGCGGTAATCGTCGAAAAATATATAATTTATGAACGTTTCTTGATCATTGAATGATAAACGTGGCAATGTTTGCCTGTTGTGAAGAAGACTCCTATACTGCCGCTCTATCGTCCGGAATTATTCGTGTCTGATGACGGGGATTCCGCCACTCTATCAGCTGATTTTTGTTTCCGAGTCACGTGACCAACCGGTGTCTCCCTGACAAAAACCAGGCAGCAAAACATATGCGAAAGAGTCCTTAGCAACGCCCCAGGGAGACACCGGTTGGTCACGTGACTCGGAAACAAAAATCAGCTGATAGAGTGGCGGAATCACCGTAATCAAACACGAATAATTCCGGACGATAGAGCGGCAGTATAGGAGTTTTCTTTACAACAGGTAATCATTGCAATGTATTATCATTCTATGACCAAGAAACGTTCATAAATCATATATTTCTTCGATGATTACTGCCGCAACCGACGCGCATATATTGTAGCCAGCGCATAAAGCTGTGCTTTGCGATATTATATGTAGTGAAACGGCCAATACTAATAATTTGTAACAAAGCTCGAAAAAAGATGGCATTCTATCTTGCTTCAACCTTCTACTTACGCTTTTATAATAACGACAGCGACACCATACGGCCTATCCACGCTATGCAACTCCATGGCGTGTCCGGCCGCACTCTGCCGAGTGTGCCGAGATCAGAGGGGGACCATCCGCGGCAAGTCCAGCTGCACTGCCCGGTACCTGGGAGGGCGACGCCTAGCCCCGCTCTGGCCGCTCGCTTCCGCGCACAACTAAGCTACCTGGCTAGGCCTGTGGGAGGGGAGGGAGAAAACCAACAACAGTCTAATGAGCCAATGGAGTCTGTGAGCCGCGCCAATCAGCGCCCTTCCGCGCGCAGACGGGAGCTAGAGCTATTCATCTCCTTTCCTGTTTTCGCTGGTCCGCCAGTCACCAGCATCGTTCCGTGCTCTCCATCTTGGCCGATTCGGCCGTGTGCGTCAGCAACAACAGTGAGAGAGAGAGAGAGAGAGAGAGGGGGAGAGGGAGAGAGAGAGAGAGAGAGAGAGAGAGGAGAGAGAGAGAGAGAGAGAGAGAGAGAGAGAGAGAGAGAGAGAGAGAGAGAGAGAGAGAGAGAGAGAGAGAGAGAGAGAGAGAGAGAGAGAGAGAGTCTCGGATCACGCCAGGCAGCCACATGGGTATCTATTGTTTATTTATTTTCCAGTGATCGCAAGCGTTTTTGTTTGGAACCGGGTGTGATCAGTATTTGACGCATTTCTGTGATCTGTATGATAAAACTGAAAAATAGTGAAATATATTCACTTTAATTTACATATCGCTTTTGATTCATGGTACGGCTGCTTGATTTTGCCACAACATACAAACACAGCCGATCTCGGCATGTTTCTGTTCCAGAACAGCAGCTGCAGTGGACACCAAAAATGCATTCATGTTCTGACAACTTACTCCAAAGATACAAATATTTCACGACGAACTGCTAAGTTCCAAAGAAAGTATTTTCTCGCTCACAGATGCTCAACAAGAAGCGCACGATTGATTGCAACTAGCACGCTCACGATTTCTAAAATAGCGCTGGCCCAAACCTGCCCCTTACATCCAAATATAATATCTTAATTCCAGCCTCTGTCCTATTTATTATTCATTAGCGCACCGAGAGTGAATGATACCACGGCATAGCCGTCATATTACAGAGCACAAATTGCGAGACGACGTTCGAGACCCGTATCGGCGTATTCTTTACAGATCCGGGTGTCTCGCTTTCACTCTCAATCAACCCTGCCACACCATCAACCGAGCCACATCGGCTCCGACCATCTTGATTCCCGCACTGAAATCTGATGGCCGGCCCGTCATTCCATCCTATCCGTCGGCGCGCACTACACCCGAGCTCACCCTAAAGTGCACTGTGCGGCCTTCTTCGGATGACACCTCTGAGCATGGCGCTTGCCTTGCACCTGGATGCTTAGAGCCTCTTGTTCGTGCACGGCCGTTAGCATTTCAGGAGTCGGATGGTCTCGGCGGTGGCGGCGCTGGTCACCGTGGAGCCGTCGGAAGACACCGTCAGCTCGAGCGCCCTCGACCAGTGACCTGTAAAGCAGCGAGTCGCGGCATGTCAAGACGACCGTCACGTTTCAGTCACGAAGGCCGTTATAGAAGTCACGGCGGCCGTCATATGCCAGCCGCGGCGACCATCACATAGCAGTCACGGTGACCGTCACAGGTCACGACGGTCGTCAAATACCACTACAAGCCACGGCGACCACGACTCATAACTCATAACGTTTCCTGACGCACACTCAGCTATAATAACAGTACATAAGCCTGTACACACATTTCTCACTCGAGAAATCGAAACCCGAACCTGAGACCCATCATACGTCACGACACTAAGTTGCAGCGGCACCTGCATTAGCAGACATCCCATCCCGGCAACACAAAAAGTTATCCCGAGCCACCCACCTAAGGACGCGGTGACGGGTCACAGAATTGCCATCACGTCGCTGATCTAGTGACGAAAAGGGACACAGCTGACCTGTGGACGCGTTGGTTCACACAATTAGGTAATGACCTGGAGATGATGTGATAGTTTCTGGTCAATGTCGGTACGCGCGCCGCGTGGCTGGCCATCACACTCTGCCACCTCCGGATGACGTTCTACAGCTGGATCGACACGCTGTCTCCAGAACCACCGCCAGAAACAAGCCTGATGGAGGATGATATGATCAAAACTAAAAAACCACAAAGCACACAATGAAGACGACAAAAGCGGCGGCAGGCACATAATGACGATTGACGACCTATAACTAAATCAGCAAATTCAACGTCAAAAAAGGCTGCAAATGTCTACATTTTACTAGTCAAACGCCCGTGATAGGCTGATGTGTCTAGCTAGATGTAGCTTGACTTTCCGAATGTGGCCTAACCCTCGCCCGTATGGGGGGGGGGGGGCGGGGGGGGGTCGAACGGACCCCTCCTCGGTTTTTCGCGGATAACTCATAACTCGCATAAAAAGACGCCGATTGCGACGAAACTTTCAGTACCCTCCAGTTGATCAATTTTACACATGTCCTTGACATTTAATGAACCTGACCCAAATGAACTTTGACCTGTGACCTATTAAGCCCAGCTGCCAAGAGCCATGGCAGCTAGTTGGGGAAGCTTCAGTCCAGATAGCATATGCAAGTAGTAGCCATTCAGCAAGTCTGGTGGGAGGCACTTTCAGCAACTGTTCAGGCGTTAATTGGATGGAGAGTCTGGGGTGTGTGCGCACCAAAAAGTAGCAACTGCACACTCAGAACATTGGCAAAACCTGAGGGCTGTTCACGGGCCCTGTGTGCGGTCGGACCGCACACAGCCTCGAAGCTCCGCCCACTTTGTCCCTACGTCAGCCTTCCGTCACCGCACACAGCGATCGCTGTGGCCGGTCGGGACTGGCCACAGCGGACCGTCCACCGCAGGCAGCCGTGACGTCAGAACCGCCTACCAATCCCCTACCCCCACGCCTGCTGGACGCACCGCACACCGCACGCAGCAGTGTGCGGTGCCCGTGAACACCCCTCTGGAGACATTATGAGGAAACATTGGTCTGGGCAGACACCCAGGTTGAGGTGAGTTGTCAAGACTCAGTCACCCAGACTCAGCACTGACAGCACTGACATCACCATAAATGTTACCAAATGCCGTGAATAGAATAGTAAGACATTTTATAAGATTGGACCCTGGGGGAACCTCCAGGCTTCCCCCATCGGATAGTTGTCTGTCCAACCCTTGGCAGCTGGTGGATGTTTGGGAGAGGTGGACAAAGCCCGCAGAGGGCATGTATTTCATGATCGCTACACACATTGCAAGACTTTTTTAATGATATAATAACTCAAACTTATCCATGTAACTTGTCAATTACAGGACTTTGTGGGCTTTTGTTTATTAATTCTCAGAGCATCATCTTTTCTGGTGAGTTACTTGCAACACGCATTGCTGCAAGCTCCAAAAGCACAACTCGAAATGGCCAACCACAGCAGGGTCTCAACCTGAAGCAGGAGATTGAGACGCAGAAGAGAAGGAGAGGATCAGGATCATGGAAACAAGAGAGCAGAGGACCAAAACGAATCTGGGTGAGGGGTTTATATAGACTTGACTTCAGGTAGACTACATACTTCGTAGGATAGGTACCTACCTAATAATCCCGATGGCAAATCAATATAAAAACTATTTTGATTTGTATCTCAACTAACCACAGAAAAGAAACTTGACA